CCGAGAGGGTAGAGCACGTCTCGGCTAGAACAAGCTAATGTTAGCATTAGCAACTGCGAAACATGGCAGAACTCCTCCAGGCTTGTGTTATTTGTGGAGAAAAAGCATCAATATTGCAGAAGAAATGGAGGCAGTGGAAGACTTGCATTGCTGTTAGCCAATCAGAGGCAAGATTTTCGATTATCATTAATAATTAAACTCCAAATCCTGCCAATTTCCTCACCCCATTCCTCAGGCTAACTTCTACTTCCTGAAACAGGAGCGCCAGAGCTTTTCTTCCACAGAGAATGGCTCACATGCATTCCTACTGAAAACCACTGCAGATGTTTTCAATAAAATAAGTGAATGAAAGCTTTAATACAGTTGAATTTGGTGACACTTTACTAAAGTTTACTTACCTATAATAATGTTACCATTATTGTTAACTATTAAGTGTCCTTAAGGTTAAAACAAAGGGCCAGGGGGGTTGTCCGCTTAGTAATGCGTCACATAATATGGTTAAGCAGCTGTTTATTATACTTTATTAATAGCTTAACTAATAGTTTATTAATGCTTAATAATGCACTAAGTAACAATAATAAAGGGACCTTTATTTGAAAACAATAGTTTTTATCTATAAGGATTTTTTGGCCTGATACAGAAATTAGTTTGCTGACCTGAGTCGTAAGGCAACAAAAGGACTGAACGGGTTTTCATTTAGTAATTTCACATTTGAGATGTCTGTGATGTTGTCTGAGAAAACAAGCAACATGAACTGAATTTTCACTTTTCTTATTCCATCCGTGGAAACTGACCTGTTGAGAACATTCGTGCTTTCTATCAGAAGTGTGAAATGATGAAATATGACATTTTTTGAGCTTGGAAGAAGTGGATGATGATTATTCTGCCAGAGAAACACCAAAAGATGAGAAAATATGGGCGGCAGTGGCAGAGGGGTCAAGTGCCTGCCCCGTAACCAAAGGGCAGCTGTGGCACTACCTGTGTGTCAATCTGTGAATGACTTGGGGGGTTGTAAAACTCCAGGGGCTATGTCAAATACAGGCTATTTACCATTCTCCATCATTATAACAGCAACATGATAGTCAGACTTTATTATTTTAGTAAAAGAGGAACATTTTCTTCAAAATATACATAAAGAGAAGAAAAGTTTGGGACTTTTTTAGCAGAATTATGTATTTTCCTGTAAAGCAGATGTGATTAATTAAAATTGGAAACTGATGCACAAAAACCTCCTGGCGAAACGCTAAGGTGCAGATAGTTGCATGAATTTCCAGAAAGCGTTATAAACACACCAAGCTGTCTCTCCTGAAGCCTCTGAAAGGTCGGCGAGAGACGAGAAAGTGGGACAACAGCTGAGAAAACCACCAGCCTAAATTTAAACTAGAACCAGTAGCAGCTTTCAGCCTCCACAGTTGGAAGTGTCTGTCCTCAAAGATGAGCCAAAGACTTCCTTTAGCTCTCAGCAGAGCTCCGTTTGAAAAGCCTGTGGAGGACAGTGACAGACTCTCTGGATCAAAGACACCGGCGGTGCTGTTGATGAGTCTTTCCATAAAAGAGAATACATGAGTTCTTTCTGATCTTTTCTGCCCCCTCTGCTTGTATTAAACCCAAACTGGACATGTCCAAAGAGAAAGAAGTTAGAGGAAGTTTGACATCTAAATTTCTCCCAAACTATTATCCTGATACTAATAACCTGCTGACGTTTCTTTCTGCAGGCTATATTCCCTTATATTTTTTTAGACTTTTAAAATTTATCCGGTTTCCGGCACCAATCTGTCCAAGGAGGCCTTTATTCCATAATTTTCAACAAGATGCTTGACTGCCATTTGGCCTCGGGACCTGTCACCTCCTTATCGTTAGCATCACTAACTGATATTGATAAACAGTCTTTTTAATAACTCATTTTGTCCTGCTTGACCTGGTTGACCCTGCCCTGCAGGCACAAGGAAACAGTGAAGCTTCTGTTGGGAGACTAAGATGGCTCCTCTCTCTCCCTCTGTTTACTGGTCATGCTAGTTAGCATGTTGAATGTCACGTGTAAAGCCCCCACTCTTCTTAGTATGTTGCGTACATCTGGCAATTTTTTTGAAGTTGCTTATTTTGGACTCATTATTTAGATTTTTGGGTTTTTAAAAGACAAAAAATATCCAAATAAAAGTCCAAAAAGGCTGCGATAGAGACGGGTATCTTGTTTAGTGTTTTTCTTCATACTTCTTTTCAACAACAGGAGCAACATAAAAAAAAGCTGCATCAACAGAATCTACCTGATTCATTCGACTCCCCTCCCTCCCCATCGATCCAGAAATTCAGCGGCGTTTCCGGTAACAATGCTGTAATTTAAAGAGACAATGTGTAGTTTTTACCGTCAATCGCTACAAACATCCAGCTAAATGTTGTTGAAAATAAATTAATTATGCCCAGTTGTTAATATATTGGCAGCTTCATAACATATAACCACAAAAAAAAAAATGGGAGCATGTATAAGTCTCTGGGCGACGCCATATTAGATGCCATGTTTTCTTCTACGGGAGCCCATGAGGACCAAATGAATTTACTGATTTGTAACAAGCAGTTACAAAGCTTTCACCGTTCAGAAACGTTGTTGTACCTCTTCACTCGTTGTCAGTGAGGAAAGGGAATAGGATGTGCTTGTCATTTAGCTGGAAGTTGCTCCCAGGGATTTTTGACCCTAATGGCCATCCGTTGGTAAGGTCTTAAGCCTAGTTTATGCTTCTGCATCAGTACGGAGACACGCAACGCCATTATCTGTCCTTGCTAGCCTGTTGGTGAGCCCTCACAAGGACGGATGGAGTCGAACCCACTTTTGTCATGTTCTGTGTCCTTGCAGTCAGTCAAAAAAACTTTAACCAAAAGGAAAGTCAACGAAAGAACAAACAGAGCAAGAGCGACAAGCTAATACACTTTTTCAGGGAACGCCTTGGGATTCCCCTGGAAGAGCTGGCCCAAGTGGCTGGGGAGAGGGAAGTCTGGGCCTCTCGACTTACGCCGGTTTCTCACTGGAAGCCTCAGCAGTGCAAAACGGCAGCGGAACAGTTTACTCGAGAACTTCAAAGTGGTCCTTTTCACACTGGAATAGTCTTGGCAGCGGCACGGCTTCCTCGTTGTGCTCTTCGCTTTGTGATCACACTATCCCTCGAGACTTCAGGTCACGGTTTATGCATTCCGCCATTAAACTAAAAAGGAAGAAATCATGTTTGATATTGCTGTTTCATGTCATATATGATCTTGCTCCTCCCCACTGCCAGGGTTAAAGCCATGAAAAAAAAACGCTGCACTTCTGGAGCAATCCTGTGAGTAAATAAGCCATTGGGTCACACGTAAATCTCATAGATATGAAACTGCATCGCTGCAGTAATTGTTATTTTTCTATTTACCGTGATTTTACACTGAAACCGTGTGTAGTTTCCTGTCTAGCCCTATGTTTACTGCGGAAATTGAAGCATCCCAAAAGCAGCACGTGGCAAGAATAGAACCCGATCCAATCTAGCTGCGTGGCGCGGCGTGCCGCTTCTGGGATGTGCCTGGAAATTGCTGCATCACTGCTGGTTTGAAACGGTCCATGGACAAAAAAGGAATCCAACTGAAGCAGTGACGTTCAGCGCTGCTGATGCTTCCAGTGTGACACCGGGGTTAGGCTGCTGCCCTCGCGACCCGACTCCGAATAAGCGGAAGAAAATGGATCAATGGATAACACTGTTTAAAAAAGCACCAAGTATTTAAATTGGATGAAATACACAGAATGAACACACAAAAGATTTTTACATCCAGTTTTTTACTTTTTTTTTTTCTCGCATAAAATCCATTTCAGTGGCCCTTGGGGACATTTTATTTTGGGCCCCTGTCTTGCCCTGTTTTCCACTCATGGTTAAATCTTTGTGTGCTTTCCAGAGGTGTGGACTCGAGTCCCATGACTTGGTCTCGAGTGATTATTTTAATGACTTCTGACTTGACGTGATAAAGACTTACGACTTGACTCGGACTTGAACGCCAATGACTTGCGACTTGAATCGACTTGCATCTGTTGACTTGATGATGACTTGAGCACATTTGATATTTTAGCACAAAAGTGGCACGACATGGACAAAAATCGTGAATCATTCTTGGTTCTGGGTTTGATCTTGTACTGCTACAAGCAGCACTTTGTTTATAATCAGTTTCAGTTGCACTTTCTGCATGTTTGAGCAAATAAATTAAGCTTTATTTCTGGAATTTATTTATTATCATTGTCATTAAATTGAAGTTGGACAGATGACTTGATTAGGACTTGAAAATTCAAAGTTAAGGACTTGGACTTGACTTGGACTTCCACTAGCCTGGCCTGCCAGAATCGTCCTCTGTTTAATTCTGCACAGAGAACGAGTCTGGTAACTCACAGGCAGAGAGGCACTTAAGGGGCGAGACTAGGCAGCTCAAAAATGACCAATCAGAAAAAAGACGGAAATCCCGACTGTACCGCACGACGCGGTAGATTTCTAGTCGTAGTAAAAAAAATTGCATCTGGCAACGGCGCAATCTTTTATTTTTTTTAGAAGAAATGCTTTTAGTGCTTCTACTTGTGGTTTTAAAGACATTTGAGTCATTTAGAACAGAGGAAAGAGTCGCAGCGAACTCCACTTCAGTCACCATGTTTATGACAAACTCGGCGTTGTGGTGTGTGATGAACAATACGCTGATTGGCTCGGTTAGAATTCTCACGGGGTGGGGTTGTTTGAATAGGAGAGTTCCCAGACCCTTTCTCTGTGCAGAATTAAACAGAGGAGAAGTCTGGCAGGCCAGGCTAGACTTCCACATCACTGACTCTGAACTCGACTTGGACTTGGTTGTCTTTGACTTGGACTTAACTCGAGACTTGACTGGAAAGACTTGTGACTTGCAAAACAGTGACTTGGTCACATCTCTGGTGTTTCGTGCATCATTCATGTTGTGTAACTGAAATTAAATCAAACCTTAAGAAGAATTGTGTGTCTTTCTGTTTTCAGTGAGCAACGCCTGGCAAACGCTTTCTGACAGAATCCAGGAGGAAAACTTCACAGCCCTGCTCCTGTCCCACCTGGAAGACACCAGCCAGAGTAAGAGTTTTGTCATCTATTACATGGAAATCTTTTCCATCCACTAAGAGAGATTGTGAACCCTGAAGCAGCGCTGACACCGCAGAAACCGTTTGGCAGAGAAAACAAGTTTTTTTTATCAAACAAAAGTTATTTTTAGATGTTTTAAACTAATGAAAGTGGGTTTCGATGACATAACTGCCTCTTATCTCTAGTTTATACCCAGAGGGTTTCCTCTGGAGCAATGCCACCTCGGCTCCTCTTCAGTAATCAGAAAATGACTCGAATGCTTCTCTTCTCATCCTCTTAATAACCCCCCCATTTGCAAGCCTGTGTGAGTGAAATATTAATACGTTCAAATAACAAAGCATCCGCTCACACCTTCATAAGGATAAACACAGAACGAGACCACTTTGTTTTGAGTTTTTCATAAGTAAAACTAAAACTGTCATTTAGCTAAACTTTTATGGATTTTTTATGTAAGGTAAGACATTTTTAAAGTTTAATCTATTAGAAAATCTCACCATGTGTCTTGTTTCAGTGCCTAATCTCTCTTATTTTGGCAAAAATGCACTAAAATCCCCCCTGTGGGATTTCAGTGCATTAGTGTGGCCCCAGAGCCACAGGTTGTAGACCTCTGAGCTAACTTTTGCGTTTAAAATGGATTTCCTGTGATTTGAAGAAGAAAGTTCACTTTTTATGTTATATGTTCCAGTTATCTCTTGTGATTTTGAGTTGCCGTGCCATTGGACTCTATCACATAATGACTCCCAGAGCGAGTGGTCAGTGGCGTCTCCACAGGACTCCAAGGACACGAAGGCTGGAACAATGCCGGTGACTGACCATTCTGTGGGAAGACCTGAAGGTGTGAACTAATGGTAGTTTATGCTTGAGCTAGCATCGGTCTCAACACGTCGTTTAAATAAAAATACATTTCAGATTTTTATTCATGCATGAAAAAGCAGCAATCATCATGTGGGTGTGTTATAGTATCTCTGTTTCTTACCCTCAGGCCACTTTCTTCTCCTGAACCCATCACCTGCTGGGAAATGTGAGCACCAAATAATCAGCCCAGTCTTGCCCAGAAGCAACAGGGAGTGCACCTTGCAGGTGGCTCTGTATGAGGCCGGTCCAACAGCGGGAGACCTCACGGTTCAGATCAAGCCAGTTATGTCAGAGTTAGCTTTCCACTCTGAGGTTCCTACCCGCAGGAATCAAGATGACCACAGGTCAGAAAACACCTTCTTATGGACCTGTTCTGCAATATTTTTATTTATGCATATTTGATTTGTCACTTATTAGGAAGCAAAAGTCAGAAGGATTCCGGTGTCATAAATAAAATTTCTACCTGTTTAGCTGCTTTGGAGTCGAGCTGGGGTTTACTTTTGAAGTTGGAGGTGCAGTTGATCTTAAAACCATTTTAAATATGCAACTTTTTCATTTTTTTAAATCTTTTTCTTGAGCCAGTATGTGCTAAAATGACCCTTTACATGGTTAATGAAATGTCACTCAGTCCCCTACCACACTTTGTGACCAGAATATTGCACTTGCAACTTCAGAATGCCCGGCTGCCCACTGTGAACTTCCTGCATGTTTTCTGCATGTTTTAGATCATGAACACAGCTGATTTGTTTCATTTAGTGATCAATCACTCCTGTAGACACTAATGAAGGCTGGGGAGACATTCCAGCTGTTAGATTAAGGTGTCAAAAAGACGAACGCACAGCAAGGTGATAGGTTTCACTTTATTTGTGATAAAGTGATAGGTTTAAACACAGAGAACTAATACCAGACACTAGGGGGTGCTAAAGTGTGCCTCTCAGTTTCAACCTTTTTTCCTCAGGCTCTTGTCCTACAGGCACAGAATCTGCTCATTGTAAAACACGAACAGCAGCTACTGTCATTCTTTACCTGCTTTAGCACCTTTTCTGCCATATTCCTAATGTAACGCACCAACATAACCGAATAACAATTTAGTATGCTAGCTAATGTATCATCGATTGTGGTAAAAAACAAGATGGTCTTTAGCATCCTTGGTTTATTCTTCACTTCAAAATGAACTCCTAAGCATTTCCCAACAAGAATAGAACCAGATTCTAAAAAGAACATAAAACAACTCCTTAAATGTGTTTATCAAACAGAACGGAACGTTCCACCCATTACACTAGGCAGCCCAGCTCTGGCTTTGCTTCCTGTTCAGCTGCTCCAAGCTGAGATCATGTGATTCATGCACAAAGAGGGAGGTGGGACAGTCAGAGGGCAGTTTGATGGATCAGGATCAGGATCCAATGGAACATTAAAAAAGATTGATGAGGTTTTTCAAGGATTTTACATTTTAGAGACGATTAAATGATTAAATTTTTAAAACAAAACATTTAATTTATTTTAATGCCATCGGAATTTTGAAGACGATTTCAAGCTATATGGCAAAAAAAAGAACCTTTAAATACTAAAAAGGAAAGTCAACAAAAGAACAGACAGAGCAAGGGCGAAAAGCGAACACATTTTTTTAGTTTCACAGTAAAATAAAGATGGGAATTGTGGGCAGAAATTTTCTATTGATCCAATGCTGAAGTCCAGCCATCTTTAGAAAAGCTAAAAGCATTTTAGGCTGCAGATGTAAGCCGGAGATTTGTTTAAATGTAATTGGTGAGGACAGCGGAGGGATGGATGGGAATGTGCAGTCAGTTGCTTTGTTAGCATCAGTCCAGTAATGGCTCCTGCAATTTCATTAGGAGGCACACACACACACACACACACACACACACACACACACACACACACACACACACACACACACACACACACACACACACACAAGCAGGGTTTCCATTTATTAAGCCTACCATTCATACAACCTGGGGACGTGACTTCCAGATACACTCCTGTATGACGAAGCCGGTAGTGCAGCGCTGCGTGTGTCATCTCGTCGCAGTTCCGGGATCAGTTTTATTGTAGACCAGGGGCTAAACGGGCTGAGAGCTGTCATGGGAAGGGGACACGTGAAAACATCCACTTCTGCAGGCATGATGAAATTAAATCCAACACACTTTAAGCTGTAAGTCATACAAAATAATATAAAAATATGAAACTAGAGGCAAGAAGAAGGACAAAAACACCAATAATAACCATAAGGTTTCTTATTGAATTAAAGGTCAAACGTAACCTAAAGAAACTTTTTGCTGCCATTTGTTGGTCCAGGGTGGAGTGGGAGGTTCTGAACGCTGTGATTGGTCAGATGGAGGAACCGTTTCAGGTGATCCTGCTCTACACTTCCTGTTTGGGTCAAGGTGAAGGCATCGTGGCTTTAGACTCTCTGGACTTCATTGACTGTAAAGCAGGTGAGACAGACTTGGGTCACTGGTTATTTATTTATTGAGACTTTCATTGCTTCACCTTTCCAATTCGCCATGTCACATCAAACAAATCCCTTTAGAATAGTTAAACTTAACGTTTATCCTTGTGTGGCCGCAGAGGCCGACGATGGCGCCGTTGACCAGGACGTTGAGTGTGATAAATTGTTCCGCTGTGAAAGCACGAATGACTGCATCGATCAGAACCGAGTGTGTGACTTCCACACGGACTGTCCTTTTGGAGAGGACGAAGGCCTAATCTGTGGTAAAATCCTATTTTTGTTTAGTTATAGGAAATTCTGTGATTCTAAATCATTCTGAGTTCGGATGAATGAGTCACATATTGTTTTTGTTTATACTGACTTGTTCAAGAGGATGTTTAAACTCTAAAACCTTCCTAAATTTTGTTGTTCTGCTGAAGCATCTTTGTGTGATTAGGAACTGGACCCCAACCACTCAAATCTAAAATGGTGTTTCAATCAAAGCCTTTCACTCCCGCTCTCTACTTCACGCTCTGAAATATACAACAAGTCTTCTTTATGAAAACATCAATCATCCTGTGCTATAAAACACTTCAGCACACCAAGAATCAAAAGGCATTCCTTCGGGAGGCAATGAAGTCAATGTAGTCTGAGATATTTAAGCCCCCTTCAGACAGGCCATGAAAAACGGAAATGTTCCGGAATCTGTCCGTAAGACCTTTCTGTCTGAATACAAACATCCGGATAACGTGCTCCGGAATTTATCCGGACGAAGCCCCTAGTAACAGGTCCGGACTTGTTACGGACAGGGTGGCTGCTTCAGACTGGGGAGGTAAAGTTCCGGACAAGAGGGGGGGGAGGAGGAGGGGACCGGGGGACGCTATGCGCACCTAGATAGCCCGCTGCTGTAGCATGCGGCGAACCACGGCAGCTCGCCTCCTACGGTACCGTCTGGACGCGCGACGGAGCGCTTCACACCGCTTCACACCGCTTCAGTGATTCCTTTAACCATTGAGCTTCATCATCCAGGTCTCTTATGTGTCTTCGTGTGCGCAGAATTATGCTTAAGCGCCTCGTGATTTTTATCTTGAGAGGCGCTATAGAAATTATATTTTCTTCTTCTTCTTCTTAACATAAGTCCGATTCCCCCCCACCCCACCCCACCCCCCGCCGCCGTCAGACATCTGGAACTTTTCCCTGCTGTGTGAACGCAGCCAAAAGGACAAGTTCCGGTACAAAAGTGGTGTGTCTGAAAACACAGTTCCGGTTAAAAACCGGATTGAATTGTCCGCAAATGTTCCAGAATGTCTGTCTGAAAAGGGCTTTAGAGTCCTTTGTCCTGAGGGGGGAGGAGCTTGGCCTCCATGGTGAAGAAATGTTTTAAGAGGCCCTACAAATTCAATGCTCGTCATGGGAGACCTCATTAAAACTCAGTTTGGTATGCTGGTGTTACCTTTTGTTACCTTTTATCTACCCACATAAATGCTCATTTGGTCTCAATTACTGCAGAACAGGGACCCTCTGCAAATCAGCTATTTGGTCCCCCACACCTAAATTAGAGTACAGGTGTGGAAAGTTTAGATTTGATAGATTTTTTTGCAAATGCACACACAACATCTTGCAGCAGCTTCTTGAAGAGACTCAAACCTGGAAAAGGATTATTAAAAAGTATTTTAGACTTTGATGCTTTGATCAACCTCTGATAGAAAGATCCAGCAACCAAATTTCCTCTTTGTGCAAAATGTACAAGGAGTTACATTTAGGAAAACAGCAGAAATAGCCACAGTTGACATATATATATAGCAATTTTTTATTTTGGTTTTAATGGTTGCCAATCTTAAATTTACCTGAGTTCTAAAAATGATATATTTCCCCCCATAATTATAACCATTACAAAGGGATAAAATTACTAAACCATTTGTCATGGCTGCTTTAGTTTACATTATATTCCTATTTAATTTGTTTATAGTGACATTTGTATTCACCAGTTGGTGATAATTGGGATTGCACGTTTTTCTAACAGCTTGTTTTGTGGCTCTGAAGCTGAAAGGTTTAGCCTACCTGTTGGGATTTAATATTTTTAATTACTTTTATGTAATTATGTTTATATTTTAACTATCATGCCATACCACACGTCTGATTTTGTGACAAAACATAAAAATTGTGTTTTTAACATAGCACATGTCATACACAGGCACTTCGATTCAAGTAAACACGTTCCTCAGCAGACATGAATGCACTGGTGGCGAACAGAGACACATCCAAGATGGCGACTGGCCACTATGGTAGCTACAATAAGCAGTGCCAGTCCATGGAGTATCCACATGATATCTGTGTGAACTGCTGTTAACGCTAACGTGAGCTAATGCAAGCTTGAGCTACTGCTAACATCCTTGCTGGACGACAGGAAAACAACAAAGAACAGTGTTGGCGCACCACTCACGTTCTAGGATGTACTGGGAATATCCAGATTTCAATGGATGCCAGATGGATTCAAACCTTCCCGTCCTTTTCTTTGTTCATCTGCAAATAACGTAGGACTTTATTTTGGGGTTGTGTTTGGAAATTTATCAGGGCTCCTTGGCAATTTTGAGCCTTAACTAAATCTCTATTAATTAGTTTAGAGTTCTGGAGCGAATCAGCCATGTAGAAGTTGGATTTCTTGTACCTGTGGCCTATAACAGCCGTCTTCCCTCCCAGACGCTCTTCCTTTTGGCTCATACTGCTCCTTTGAGTTGGATTCATGTGGCTGGTCTGGATCCAAGCTGCACTCGGGCTGGAGGAGAGTCGCTGGGGACCAGCTCCTGGAGAAAGACGACAATCAGGGCATAACTCTTCAGCACACACCAGGTTGGTGTGTTTGTGTGATTTACTGATTGGTTTAATGTTCGGTTTCCTTTCCTCACTGCAGTTCAGAAATATCGCAAAATAATAATAAACCCAAATTTATTGTTGGAAATGGGGAAAGATGTCATGGACTGAATACATTTTAATATAAAACAGTTTGTGAGAAAACAGTTCGGTCTTTTATTCTTTTTGTTTGTTGGAATTTTGTGTTTCATTCCTTTGGATTGTTGTGTTTGTTGTGCATCCCTAGGGCACTTTTTGTTCCTGCAAGTTAGAGAATCTAATTCACTCCAGGAGGCCTCCATTCAGAGCTCATCTTTCCCTCCTCCAGTCTCTACCACTGCTTGTCAGGTTGGTTAATTTCAGTAGTTAATAAATGAATTCAGATTAATTATTTTGTCATTCAGGAGCATTTAAGAGAAAATGTGAGTTAACATTAACCGTTAGTCAGTTTTTTGTCCGAGCTTTGAGGCTATTCATTCTTGTCTGAGGGAAGAAGGGTGAATAACCTTGATGGGTGGATTTGGGAGTTCCACCGTTATCTTCTTGTTTCTGGTTCTGCATCTGCTTTACAGCATCAAGGCTGCTACGCAAGCTTGGCTTGCAGGGTCAGGGTAATCAACAGGTGAGGAAGGATCTCTCTAGATCTGCTAGGGGCCAGTGGCTTTGGCTGAAGAGAAGAACACTAGCTGGGCCCAAGGGTTGACTGGGACCAAAATTCGACCCTGGGATCTCCACAACTTCAGCTCGCTGTGCACATATGCGCTGACAGCGAGCTGCGCTGAGCAGTGTCCAGCTCAGATGTTCAGATGGAAATCTTTTCTTGGGTGATTTAGCTACATCTGCGATGTGCGTAGAATAAAATGTCAGTTCGTCTGCATGCGTCGGGGTAATTCTTTCTATTCTTTCTCCATCAAAATAAACAGTCAAATATGGGAACTATCCAGTCAACACAAGCCCTGCTTTTGACTGTTCTGTTTTCTTGTGAAAATTGTTGGAAAGAGATCAAATTTAACTTGATTAACACCAGAGCCAGTGCGCCGTCATCTCCGTGACAGTAAATGAGGGGAAAACAAATTGATCTGATCCGGCACGTCTTTTAACACATTGGTCAGGATTGACGCACTTTGTTTTCATTTAGTTGGTTAAAAAAAGTCGGGCTCGGGCTCGGGTCGGGCCAGAGAATCCTGAAAACCTTTTCGGGCCGGGTCGGGCTGGGGCTCCACCCCCCTCGGGCCGGGCCGGACACGGGCTCAGATTTTAGGCCCGTGCAAGGCTCTAATCTAGTCCTTCGAAACACACTGGTAAAGTGAGACTGCATATCTGACCACACTTAGCAGAGCCCTCTTGTCGCCAAAGAAGTTGCCGAACCAGACCTCCAGTAAAATGGATGTTTTCACAGAGAACAGCTTTTGTCAGCCTCCTCATGAAACAAAAGACTTTAATTGAAGCTGTCTGTGTTCATAGCCTATGTGAGGTCAGAGGTCAAATACTGTTGTTACTACATCTCCCCAACGACTTTAACCCTCCCACTGTCTTTATGGGTGACCCCGCAAGGAAAGTTGACCATTGAGCAGGATTGATGGTTTATCCCTTGAGGTCCACGTGGCAGGGGTGAGGTGGTGCTCACTCCTCACCCCTGCCACATGGACCCAAGGGATAAACCATCAACTCTGCTCAATGGTCAACTTTCCTCGCGGGGTCACACCCATTAGGACAGTGGGAGGGTTAATGGTAAAGATGGGAAAGGTGTAGGTGCCCATTCACTTTTGTCTTCATCACATTGGTGCTTTGGTTATTTGCCTGACACCAATCAACAAATTTCCCAACCTCACTGCTGCACAAATACTCATTATTGTTGGACATCAAATCGACAACAGCAGTGTCATCTGCAAACTTCACCATGATTTCCAGAACATGTTGAAGACAGGCCCTTTGTAGGACTGCATGGTTAGGGGTGCTAAGCATCCAGAGAACAACATAAATTTCAATGTGAACCTGATTTCCGCGTGTGTGTGTGTGTGTGGGGGGGGGGGGGGGGGGGGTGGGGGGGGGGGTTCCTCTGATCATTTTTAGGGGTACTGGTATTCAGTTCAGGGATTTTTCTGAACCCACAACAATGGGCTAGAAATGCATAGGGTCAGAGAACAATGCACCCTGGGTCTTTACAAGTCTATAGGAGTCCTATGTAAAGACATATAGGACAGTGTCCTGTCCCCAGCCTTGCCTTTTATGGTCATACCTGATAATTACAAAATCACATTAAAAGGTAGCTTTCACTGCTTCAATGCTTCTTGTTTCAGCTTTGCTAGAAATTTAGCAGAAATGTCCAAATCAAATTCTTACTTCTTGACTTTGTCTTTGTCCAGATGCGTTTCTCTCTCTACTTACATGGATTTTTTAATGGCTCCCTGCAAGTTGCCATAGACGAAAATGGAACCAAGGCGGCTCCATTGGTGTGGGAGAGACAAGGTCAATGGATGGACGACTGGGAGGAAGTCGTACTTGATCTGTCCAGCCTTCATCACGGGTATTTAAGAAGAAGTATAAATAAATGTTTTTTATAAAGGTAGGATCTGATTTCCTGAAAAAGCCATTTCAGCAAGTTGTTTTTACCATAGAAATGCCACACTGCACAAGCTAGAATACTAAATTGTTATTTGTTACATAGGAGAGTTACGTTAGGAATAAGGGCAGAAAAGGTGCTAACAATGGGTCAAACGTAAAGCTGAACCCTCAGCAATAAGCATTATGTGTTCCAGTATTCAACTGTGTATATTTACAAAGTGAGGCAATAGAGCAGCTCAGCCACCAAACACCTGGGAAAATCCCCACAGGTCAAAACCTCCTGAACCCTACCCCAAACCTCCTCCACTCCCTCTCCCCTCAAATTCCCACACGCACGTGCACCCATGCATTGCCAAGGCAGTTAACTGACCGACAGCTCTGCCAGCCGACAGAGGGCAAAATGTTTGTAAACAAGAACAGAATCAGACTCTAAAAAGAACTAATCCTTAAATGAAAGGAACATTCCTTCCATTATTGTCATGACTCAAGGTAAGTGTCTAACCCAAGACATGCAGAATCAAACTCGACGAGCTGGTTGACTAAAAGAAAAGTTCTTTATTCAAAAACAGGAACAGTTTTTGGGAGCAGTACAGCTCTTGTCCATATAGCGCTCGGGGTGAACGAGGGAGGCGGGAAAGCCGAGTTGAGTGCTGGGCAGAAGGTGAGTGATCCGGGATGGGTGAGGTAGCAGAGAGGGACCAGACAAGAACAACGGAGGAGGATGAGATGTGGTGCATGTAGTAATCCAGAGTCCAAACAGCGAGGGTGAGGCAGGTTGTGTGAGGATCCTGAGGGAAGGCAAACAGACACCAGACATAAGGGGTAATCCAAAAACCTAATCCACAAATCAGTTTGAGTTCAAAATCCAAGTTTTCCAAAGTGAGGCAAAGCGAATAAATAAGTACAAGTACAAGTACAAGTACAAGTACAAGTACAAGTACAAGTACAAGTACAAGTACAAGTAGCTGGGGCTACCTTAACTGGTGCAATCATCCGGCGTAGTGAGGTGTCTCCATCCTCCTTTTTATACCCGAGTTCTTGATTGGGAATCTTCTGCAGCTGCAGCCCCCTCCGCTCCTCACCTGTGGGAAATCAGCTCAATAACAGTTAGATTGGAGATGGTGTCACTCACCTCGGCTCGGGAACATGACAATTATTCTAGGGAGCCTAGCTCTGACTTTGCTTCCTGTTCAAAAGCTCCAAGCTGAGAACATATCATTCGTGCACATACAGGGGTGTGTGTAGAGTGGAGAGAGACGGTCAGAGGCCAGTTCAATGGATGGATCATGATCCAGTCATTAAGAATGGGAGGTTCACCATGATTGGAAGAGGTTTTTCACGGATTGTACGTTTCAGACGATTATGATTATTCATTTTTCTTTTACGCAAGATGCTTATTATTGGTAGCCATGGGCTTATGAAGAGTGCTTCAAGCAACATTCCAAAAAATGGTCCAGAAAATCATCTACTGCACCTTCAAGTATAATAAAGAGTCTGGTTTTACTTTAAAGTTCTGAAACTTGGTCAATTCTAACAACATGATGGTTGAATAATATCATGTTATCGCTCCAGGTTTCATGTTACCGTGAAAGCTGCATGGGGAAGAGGCTCCAGAGCTGATCTTGCTCTCGATAACATTGCAGTTGGAGCTGCTTGCTTCAACACAGGTAACACTCATTAGATTAACCTTTTGATCACATAAAGCCAAAAGAAATAAAGTACTCGGATCCTCCACTTGTTCTGTCAGTAGTTCCATGCCTTGTTTTTATGATTGATTCAGACTTCAGGCTAACCGCTGCTAAATGACCATCTGCGAGTCCTGCGCCGCAGTATGACAATACTGTCTGTGTGCGCCAGCATTCCTGTGTTTGTGTTGTTTCACTTTGGGTTTTAATTCTCACAGAACAGCAAGGAGCCCTTCACCGGCCCTCTTTAACAGTTGATGAACAGATGTGAGCGATCTGTTTTTGTCTGAGCATGATTTATTCGGGGTGCAGTTAAAAGCTTCCAGGGCGACACAGCAGTATTTGGCTGTGGGTTGGCGTCTCTTTGGAAAGACTGGAATGTTTTTTCAACTGAAACCGGGAATTTATTTAGGATCCCTAAATCATCTTCACCAACAAATATCTCATCCTTGACGTGTCATGACCTAAACGAAAGTCTTCACTTTCTTTTGGGACCTGACTCTGTCCTGGCATCTGGAGCTTGTCATAACGAAGAAACAAGCTAAGACCAAACTGGTTTGAGGGAATGTTTGACAGAAAGCATCACACAAACGGACACATTCCTGTGTTAGCATGCAGATTCAAGGACAGGAAGAGACGTTTTTCTGTTTGCTTCCTTAAAATCACATAAAGATGGAGAATTTTAACAGTATTTTTTGTTGTTGTTTTGTTTTGTTTTTACTCTACATTCCTGCATTTCCTAAGATCTGAATTCTCTGCAACAAATGGACAATCTGGATTTCTTGAGCCCCCTTCCAGAGCCTTCAATCACAGGTTGTGACTCCCCAGATACATTCATCAGGTCTTCAGAAAGCATTGTTTAACATGCCTGCTAATTTCTAGAGGTTTCGCTGATGACGTGGTGGTTTAACTCGTGTGGCGCGAGTGGTCCCCGTGGTCCAACCCAGGCCCAGTGTGACAGTACCTACAGGAACAAAAATGTCAGCGTTACCGTGGAGATGGAAGGCCCCTTCAAAGGAGCCCAGATATGGGTAGTGCCTGCCACCAATCGATACCTGTAAGTAAATGATAAATGACCCGCACTTGTATAGCACCTTTCAGATTCAGAGGACTCGAAAGCTCTTTACACCACAGCATATCATTCATCCATTCACACACACATTCACTCACTGATTGTGATGAGCTACATTGTAGCCACAGCTGCCTTGGGGTGCACTGGCAGAGGCGAAGAAGAGATTTAAGATGGAAATGTTTAATTATTATTTATTGCATTGTTGGAAAACTTTGTTTATCCAGTGAAACCAAAGACCCTCGTTTCTGTAACCAAGTTTGTGAATCACTTGTAGATTTAGCCAGAAAAGTAATAAAACCACATATCTGGCCTCGTAATTCACCTCTATTGTGTTTTGGGTAATGCTTTGAAAAGTTAAGTGATTATTAAAGAGTAAATAAAATAATACATTTTAGAAGATGTAAAGAATTTGGAAATAACTGAAATGTTGTCTAATACTCAACAGGTTTAAAGGGAGACTAGGCAGTTCTGGCTTGCTTTTAGCACCCTCTAGTGTTCGTTTTGTAGAACCGAAAGCAAAATCTCCAAAATACTTCTCAGAACGTGTTGAAGACTGACTTTTACAATTTGCTCAGGTGACATAAAATGTCCTGTGCAGCTTTAGTCAATTTCTCTTAACAAAGCTTAACTTCCTCCTGTTGTGATTTTGTGTTCCAGGATCTCAGCATATGGAGCAGCAGGAGGAAAAGGAGCCAAAAACCACAACAAACGCAACCACGGGGTGTTTATATCAGCCATATTTCCTCTGGAAAAACAAGAAAAACTTTACATCTTGGTTGGTCATCAGGGAGAGGATGCGTGCCCTGGGGTGAGTAGGCCAAGCGTGAGTCCAGACCCGAGGAATGTCCCATGAGGGTGTTGTTGTGATAAGTTGTTTGTTTTTTCTGCACCAGAGGAATCCGCTTACCCAGAAAATATGCCTGGGAGAGTCATCAGTGATAGAAGACAGCCCCAGGAGTGAGACCAGTGCAGAGTGGGCAGGTGGTGGAGGCGGCGGAGGAGGCGCCACTTACATCTTCAAGGTGGCAGAAGACAATCTATCTAGATTATTACAAATTTATTGAATACACAGAAAATGTATTAAATGATAATGCTTATTTTTCTGTGCACAGTTTAATATTTGTTTTATTTTGTCAGATGAAGGATGGCGACCTGGTTCCTTTGCTGATTGCAGCTGGTGGAGGAGGAAATGCCTACCTGGAGGATCCAGAGTCCAGTCTGGACCACATGCCTCTGGAGCAGTTTGAAAACAGTACTACAGCTCCTGGTACCAACGGTCAAACTGGTGCTGCAGGTACTGTAACATCAATAGTTTTCCAAAATGGGTACCAACAAAAATGGCTGCTCTCTCTTACGAAGTTATCCAAAAACAAGGTCAAGATAGAGGGCTTGGAGAAATCAGGAGTAACAAGACCAGGTGAACATCACAGAAGACCTCTGAAGCTTTCAAAATGCTTGCTGACTTTCAGGACTTCCGCTCTGGAGTCAAAACTTCGGTTGGCCTAGAAATCTGTGCAGCAGTTGAGGGCACAAAAAGTTAAGCCGCTGTAACACAATTATATAATTTCTGCATGGTTTGATTGGCTCGTCCTCACACAAACCTGACTCCAGTCTGAATTTACTTCCTGAGAAACCACAACCCTTCTGATATGCTGCTGTTACAAAAAGCAACTAAAAATATATTCCATATAAGGAAAACAAAGTTAGAGTTTGGTTTTTACATCTGATAAAGTCACTGATGTCGTTGATGATATGTCTGAGTTTCAGATTGCTGGGTAAATAACCAGTCGGATGTGGGAAACTTCAAGAGCATCATTAATTAAATAAGTCTGCTTTGTATTTTCTTGAAACCTTTAGTTCCAATTAGACCCAGCTGACCTGCAGCTCGTTGGTACAGTCCACAATTTAAAATTTGAAGCCTGGATGTGACATTGTGATCTGAGTTGGTGTCTCTATGATAAAGCTGGGATTTTTTATGTTTGTAGCCTATAAACAGACACATTTTCCTCTGTTTATCTGCAGTTTGATTTGTGTCTTTTTCTGTTGGAAGCTCTTCTGTGGAGTCAGTCTCAGGGATACAGAGATCCCTCTTTAGGAAATCCTGCCTTTCAGGACTTCAGTATGCCCTAATAAAATGAGTGGAAGCTGATATTTCCAGATTGGCAGACTAACTTGACGAGAATCACTCTTTCACTGATTGCTGCCCAATCAGAGTCCCCAGCTGGGACTGACCAGGAGCACCAGCAGAGCCAGACAAACGGTGAACTTCAGCAGTGTTCTGGCTATCTGACTCTTCACTCTTTGTCCAGGTCACTTAGAATCTTTAAAAGAAAATAACTAAAATAAAAATAAATGAATTAGAATTAATTTGGTAAAAACCAGGGATGTTTGATGTACAGTCTGTGCATGACATGTAAAAGGTGTGTCATGAAAGCAGAAATTCAGTTTTTCTCTCAGAGGTGTCAGAAGCTCCACCTAGCAGTGGAAAAATGTATTGCACCTTTAAGCTCCACCCCCTGCTTCTGTGATACAGCTAGAAGCAACGTCTCTCAAACATTCGGTTCATGAGCTTTTCTTTACTTTTGTCTGTCTTTGAATAGAAGCAGGCAGTGGTGGAATCTGTACTTTTTGTTGCTGTGAAGCCAGTTGGAGCTGCTCTGTCTTTGTAGCTTTCCATCCATTTTCTGAACCCGCTTTGTCCACGCAGGGTCGCAGGGGGGCTGGTGCCCATCTCCAGCAGTCAAAGGGCAAGTGGGCGGGGTACACCCTGGACAGAGAGCCAGTCCATCACAGGGCATCTTTGCAGCTTTGCTATTAGCTAATGCTGAGTGGTAGTTAATTTAAACTGCACAGGGTTCTTTTGGTTGGGGGTGGGCTTATCAAAATAAAACTGACATATTTCCTACATTATATCACAAAACAGCGTCAGACTGTCATCTTTGCAGATTTTTACAGAATTGTTCCAGTTCAGCAATTTTCTTGGGATGTCTGGAGTGAATTGCTTTCTTGAGGTTATGCCACAGCATCTCAATCGCGCACAGGTCAGGAGTCTAACTGGGTTAGAGTTAACCTAAGTAGTCCTTCAGAATGACTTGATAAACTTGGGAATTCAGTTTTCCTTTGATGATAGCAATCTGTCCAGGCCCTGATGAAGCAAAGCAGCCCCAAACCATGATGTGCCTACCACCATACTTCACAGTAAGGATGAGGTTTAGATGTTGGTGTGCTGTGCCTCTTTTTCTCCACATAAAGTGTTATGTGGTTCTTCCAAACAACTCAACTTGGGTTAAATCTGTCCACAGAATATTTAGCCATTGCATCAGTGGAACAGGTGCTCTTGTGCAAACTTTAAACATGCAGCAATGTTTTTCTTTTTGACAGCTGTGGCTCCTTCCGTGGTATCCTCCCATGAACTCCATTTTTGTTTAGCATTTTACGTAGCGTAGCTTCGCCAACAGGAATGTTAGCATGTGCCAGAGATTTCTTAAGTTTTTAGCTGACACTCAAGGATTATTCTTCACTTCACTGAGCATTTAGCCAGTTTTATTGCAACTGTATGTGAATACATAGTCTGGCCACAACTCATAGACAGAGCTTAGTTGTGGGGCGGGATCTACGGTTGTCTTTCAAACTGTCTCCACGTGCTATTGGACGACAAACAATGTGACATACTCACTGGCCACTAGGGGCTGCATGACTTAATTTTTTTAAAGTCGACAGTCAAGTAAAGAAAATCTAGTCGACTTTGACTAATCATTGATGACGTCATACACCTGAAGCAGCTAAAACTGATGATGGGTGACCAAGCGTTTTTTTCCGACGCAAGTCGGGAGGCGACTCTCTGGCACAGCGAGACGCTTTTTGACGCCCACGGTAAAACGGAGATTTTACTTAATTGTGACCTTTAAACTCTTGCTATTTAACCTTCGCCTCACCCCCACCCTACCCTTTACCCAGTATGTCGGTCTAAATTTTCCGTTAAGCGTGTTTGAGAGGAAAGATGAAACACGAAACAATGCTTTGCATGCGCAAGCTGGTTAAGGTTAGGATGGGGGTGAGGGGAAGATTAAATTACAAGAGGGTAAAGGTCACAATTCGGTCAAATGTCCGTTTTACAGCGAGCGTCAGATACCGACGCTCTGGCACAGCGCGTCGCCTCCCGACGCGCAGGGGCTCATCACCTGCTGTCTTTTCCGAGGACTCCATCTTGTCGGTCATTATCACGTGACATTGACTAGTCTATGAAAGGCATAAAAATTCAGTACAGAGCAGTGAAGTCGACCAGCTGACTAGTCGACTAGTTGATACAACCCCTACTGGCTTCAGATGTCAGTCATTGGGGAATCCCGCTATACACTGTCGAAGAAGATGTAAATAAACCCGTTTTCTAAATAATGGGCTTATGTACCTCTAACTGCTTTTGACTCAAAAAAAGCCCAACTGTAAATAGCCCAAAGTTGATGTCAAAGCCAATTTAAACACGCCACCGCCATCTTTGTTGTTCTGCTTTGTTGCATTATTCCACCCACCAAATTGATAGAGCACTGTGATTAGCTGACCAAACCAATAGAGTGCTGATTGGCCCACCATACTAATAAAGCACTGTGATTGGCAAGGCACAAGACTGGTCAGGCCTGTTTATGTTCAAATGGAGCGTGGTTAGATCGCCATGCAGAGCAAAATCCTTTTGCTTGGGCTCCAGTCTGTCAAGTTCTGCTTTAAAAAAAGAGTAAAACCTGATAGCGATAATTTGCTACGGGACAATTCATTGCAAAAGCCAGCCACTAATATCAGACAAACATCTACGAGCTGATTTTTAATCCTACTAAACTGTTTTCAGGTGGCGGTGGTGGATGGAAGGACAGTCCCAGTTCTCACCTGAGTGCTGGCAGATCTCTGATGGAAGGTGCAGTGGGAGGGTCTTCATGCTCTCTGGCACTGTCTAAGCTCAGCTGGTCCACCTTTGGGGGGTTTGGAGGTGGAGGTGGCGCCTGCACAGCGGGAGGAGGTGGAGGAGGGTACAGAGGTGAGAAAATAATTATAATAATATTTTATTATAAAAGAAAATCCGTTGTTTGAGTTTCAGGTGCTTCTGTCTTCTGCAATTGTTTTTATTATTACTGTTGTTACAATTGCTTTAAAGATTTTACAGTTCTTGCCTTAATCTCAGGAGCGATTTAGTGTTATTATTCTCACCAACATGAACAGACTCCTGTTCAATTAAATTATGATGCCTGCCGCATTTATTCATAATTGCCTGCAGTTTGTTGAATGTAATAATGAGCAGCAGCATCACAAACAGAAAAATCATTGAAGATCAAATTAAGACACTTTTGGAGTTTGAATAAAATATTCAGATGGTTGAGATGCAGAGCAGAACGGTGACGAGTAGGAGATGAAAGATGGATGGTTGCAGGATGAGCTGAAAGGCAGAGTAGAACTACAATGAAATCTAAAGGCTAAAGGCTGATTAACGCATCGATTAAATCAGGTGAAATGATACTGAGTCGATGCAAATCTTTTTGACAGCATGAAGAGAAGATTAAACTGGGAATTCATGAATATATTAAAATAAAATAAGAATTGTCTTCATCTTAGGCTTCATTTATGGGCTATCTTTTGTTGTTTATCTGACCAAAAAAACATCTTTGTGGATTTTATTATTTTTATGAACAGGAGGTGATGCAGTGCTGATGGATGAGATCACAGCCGACGGGCAAAACGGTGTTTCTTTCATCCATCCAATGGGAGAAATTTTCTTACAGCCTCTCGCAGGTGAGGCTCACACTTTTGGATATTTAGTCAGCTCAAAATTCCCCTGGAGTGTTTCAATACATCAATTATATGGTCATAGGTCCAAAATGCAAAAATCAATCGAATAACTAATCATCAACACTCTTTAGTTTGAAAGTTTTTTTATTTTGAAATTCTGCTGACATGCTGTTTTGTGGTGAGCAGTGAGAAAAGTCAGGAGAGAACTTGTCCCTCTGCTGAGTAATGATTGTGTTCAGTCACTTGTTTCATATCGAATAGGGATGTAAGAAAATATCGATATGGCAATATATCGTGATATTTTTCTAGCAATATTATATCGATATTCAAAAACAGTGTATCGGAAATATCGATATGGCAATATATCGTGATATTTTTTCCTGCGATTATTACATCGATATTCAAAAGCCGTGTATGTAATTCTTGAAAGAATTTACATGCAAACTTTTGTGTATTTTCTTTTCGTTTTGTGCAATTCAATCGCCACCCGCTAGTTGGTAGCAGTGTGCAACGGGTTTTGTTTCCACCATTGAAATGTAAATCCCTCCATCATGGTTCAGATACCTCATGTTAAACATGTTACGTATCAGTTTGGACTGTTTATTGAACATTCTTACAATAAATTCAGCAAAAAAAAAATGCTTGTAACGTCTGAATGAATGTATCGCAATATACCGTGATATATCGTATCGTCTCCCCTGTATCGTGATATGTATCGTATCGCCAGAATTTCAAAAATACACATCCCTGATATCGAATGGAGGGTCCTACAGTATATCGAATCAAATCAAAATGGTGATCACCGTTTGCTGTATTGATATTATCGTATTGTGACCAAACACCCCTACCCTAGAGTAAACCCCTCTACCAATCAAGTCTGTGGCAGAAATATAAGAAAACATAGAAAAGACCGTCATCTGCAAATAAAGACATTCTAGATACAATGGATGAAAGCTCCTTAGGTAAACATTGCAAAGTCAACTGTTAACATACGTCCATCTTGGGGTGGATTTAAGTGGCCTCACTGCAAAAACATAAATCCATATCTATATCTCGCCAATTCCCTTTCCTACCCTCACCTATGGCCACGCTTTGGGTAGCGACCGAATGAATGAGATTGCGGGTACAAGCAGCCGAAATGAGTTTTCACCGCAGTGTGTCTGAGCGCTCCTTTAGAGATAAATCTGCTGCTTGTCCACATCGAGATGAGCCAGTTGAGGTGGCTCAGGCATCTCGTTAGGATGCCCCCTGGATGCTTCCCTGGTGAGGTTTTCCAGAACATCTAACCAAGAGGAAGACCCAGGACTATGTCTGATGGACTATGTCTCTCAGCTGGCCAGGGAACACCTTGAGATTTTCCTGAAGGACCTGGTCCAAGTGGCTGGAGAGAGGGAAGTCTGGACCTCTGCTTAGGCTGCTGCCCCCACGACCTGACCCCGCATAAGTGGACAACAATGGATGGATGGATGGATGGATGGATGGATGGACCCATGAATTCATACAGCTAATAAATCATTAAACGGTAAAGAGTGATAGCGTAGCAAAAATGTTACATGAAGACAACCAACAGCAAGAATGACACGGAAATGGAAAATGTTTCTAACAGTTGAATAATCCAACATCTACTACCCATGCGGCATGGACAGATGTCAACAGAGAGAACTTCGAACATTTAGATTTTGTGAGAGAGGTGTAAAACTTTTATTACTGCAAACACTCATAATTGCTCTCATGGTGCCAGTTTTTATGATATAAAATTAGTGCTTGATTTGACCTGAACAAGTCTGAAGCTCTGACTAATTACAAATATTCTGACACAAAATGATGCACAGATGTATAAAGCATGTGGACTTAAGTTAATGTACCTTTAATTTGAGGGTGTAAAATGGAAGTACTCATGGATTGTTGCTCTTTAATGTGAAAAACGTGTGTTTTTAGGTACTTTGGCATTGATTCAGAAGCACTTCCATGACTTTTTGGGATATTTTGCAGTCATTTGAGTTGTTGTTAAGCTGAAGGCCTGAATGGCTTCTGTAGACTGTCTGGCAACATTCAGCTGTGAAAATCCACATGTATAATAAATATGTCCTAGAAAACAGATAAAAAGAGTGACAATTCCTCATAAAATTCAACAGCGAAAAAGCTAATAACGTCTTTAAAAGCAAATTATTTCGGCTTTCAAGTATTCCTGCACCTGTGTGAACACTCAGGCGCACAAATGAGTGCAGAAATCCTGTTTTGTTTTTGTTTTTTTGTATTTTTTTGAGTGAGAGCATCTGATTCTCATTACTCCAGAAACAGAAAGGCTTCTGGCTAAATCCACAGCCTCGTGCAGCTTGTTGCCCCTGGCGCCGACGGACAGACGTCCCTTTATTTTTTATTTTTTCTAAAAGGCGTCGTTGTTTCACTCTGAGCTGCTCAGTCATCATTCTCAAAAACAATGAATGGATCTGAAACCTAAAACACGTTCAAATATTCTTCTGGAGAGGAAGAAGAAGGGACATTATGCTGATAATTTAATTTATAAGACCCAACGTGTTCATCTGTCATGTGGTCAAATTGACTTCTTGTTTTTAAGTTAGAGAGGAGGTTAATGGAGTGGCACAAGCTTCCTTTTATTCTTTCAGAAGATAAAATTGTGGCATTATTTTTGTCCATATTTGGTTCAGCTGGTTTTGATTTTCCAAAACTCCAAAGAGAGAGAGAGAGAGAAGGAGACGAGTGTAATCAGGTTTGTGTGTTCATGCTGCTTTACCCCCTGATCATAACTAAAAGTAATTTTACCTTTTTAAGAAAATTGGTCCAAAAGGGAATAAATTAGAATTAGCATTGCTAAATGATGTTGGGCAAGCAGCTAAATCAGCAGTTTTACTTGCCTCATTAATGCCTGACATGTTAAATAAAATCAGAAAGATCACATTTTTAAATCCTGAACTGTTTCTTTGCAATGATTAATATAGTGTCCAAATAAATGTGGTTTAATTGTATAAAACGACACAACAATGTGCTTAGATACTTCATCAGAAAGCAGAAGACATGACATTTGTCAAAGTATGTTTATTTTTATTTATTTTTAAGGAAAGCAAAAATCCTGTTGAAGAGGTAGAGGGCTTAAAGAAGCGGTGCTGCTGCTGTTGTTGGACCTATCTGCAGTATCTGATACAGCAGATCATGAAACACTGTTATCTAGGCTTGAACGGTGGGATCCCATGGGTTGACCTGGAATGGGTGTGGTCTTATCTAATCTGGGACAGCTTCTCTGTAGGGACTGGCAATTCTTCATTGCATTCTTCTAGTCTTTCCAAGGGAGTACCACAGGGATTAATCCTGGGCCCCCTTTTGTTTTCCCTTCACCTGTTGGCTCTGGGGGTGATATTCCGGTAGCACAAACTCATCTTGTGCGTGCACACTGATGACTGTCACATCTATTGTCCCTATGAAACAGGGTACAACTGGCACCGTAAAGACCCTCCTAAGCATGTATGGAGGAAGGAAAAGTAGAGCTGGCTATTAGCTTCTTAAATCTTAATGTAGAAAAAAGGGGAGCCATTGTTTTTTCTCCCAATGATGGAGGTGTTACCAAACTGGTTGCTGGTCTTGAGATTCTGCCACCATTTGAAATATACCTGATCGTCAATTTAGGAGTTAAACAAAATTCAGTAGTCACATAAACTGTTTTGTGCTATGATATTTTTCCACATTTGCCTATTCGACTGACCTTTTGGTTGAAAACACTTCCTCCTGTGAGCTGCAATCACATCATCTAGACCTGATCTTAATTTTACGGAACATATGTGGCCCAAAATAGGGTCGAGCTTCCCTAACCCTAACCCTGTCTCTGTTAGACGTGTACCAACATTGTCCGTTTTTAAGAACCAACTTAAAACACACAACTACACCATGGCCTTTGCAGAGACCTGATGATTGTACTTTTAACACTTTTTATGAAGGTATTTTGTGGCTCATGCTATGGCTTCTTTTAACAATTGTTTTTACTGGGTGTGTTTTATTTCTCAAAATAATTGTAAATTGTTCCTTTTTAAGGTTGTGTTCAGTGCCTTGGGTGCCTTTTTTGGCTGCTGAAGGTACTATATATAAAGATGATTCTAAATGTTCTTTAGTTTGGGGCAAAGATGTAAAAATCCACATGATTTTTTTCCTTTGAGGTCATAATTCCTAATATTAGTAAGTAATTAAGTAAATTTTATTTGTATAGCACTTATCACAGACATAAAATCACAAAGTGTTTCACATAGATCAAAACAAAATAAAACAAAGTCATAAAATCATAAATAGATTAACATCATGAAATCAAAATGATCTCAAAACAGAACTAGATTAACATCAGAAAAAATAAAGTCATAAAATTATAAAATTTCATAAACAGATGAAAGATGACAAATTTGAGTTAAAAATAAGAAAATAAAAGGTTTAGGTAAAAGCAGCTTTAAATAAAAGGGTCTTTAGCTGTTTTTTAAAAGTGTCCAGACTGTCAATGCTGCGTAAGGATAAAGGAAGATCATTCCAGAGTCAGGGTGCAGCAGTCTGGAAGGAGCGATCACCTCGACTTTTATATCTGGTCTTTGGAACATCTAGAAGGTTCTGGTGTGTGGACCTGAAGGCTCGGGTTGGAGCATAAGGCTTTAACAGTTCAGTAATATAGGGAGGAGCTTGACCATGTAGAGCATTGAAAGTTATAATCAGGATTCTAAAATGAACTCTGAAGTTAACGGGTAACCAGTGCAGAGACAATAGAACTGGAGTGATGTGTGCTCTTCTGTTTGCTCCAGTTAGGAGCCTTGCTGCAGAGTTCTGGACCAACTGAAGGCAGTCAAGGGCTTTTTTGTTGAAACATGTGAAGAGTGTGTTACAGTAATCTAGACGGGAGGAGGTAAAGGCATGGAGAACCATTTAAAGTTCATGTTTTGACACCAACCTTCGCAGTTTGGAGATATTTCTTACGTGATAAAAACAGTTTAGGACCAATGGTTTTGAGTGACCTT